CCGTCTCGGGGGGAAAAAACAACAACAACAACTTGGTTGCAGCCGGGCAGTATGGACATACCTTCAATTCCAGCACTCGGGAGGCAGAGGCAGGTGGATTTGTGAGTTAGAGGCCAGCCTGGTCTATAGAGCGAGTTCCAGGACAGCAGGAGAAAGGAAAGATTTGTTTGATCTTTAAAGATTTGTTTTATTTTTAAAATAAGATTGATCTTATTTTGTATATTACAGTCCCTCGAACTGCCAGGGTATTAAAACAAAACACTGTGAATAAGAACTCCTAGAAAGAATCTGATTGGCCGATAGAACTGGAGTGATGTGGAGAGGTTGGGTAGTGCAGATTCGGAACCTAATTATTATGTCTTGGACTAGTTTTAGCTCTCCGAGCACCCATGCCTTGCCCAGCTCTGTGTAGGAGCTAATATCCCATGACTGATGGTTAAGGACCTTTCGGGATCTGTTGATTTAGCAGGCCATTGGCTTCCACCAACCTCAGAGCTAAGGTTGTCATCAGACGGCATGAGAGATGTCCCCTCCTTGCTGTAACTGCATCTCTCACCTTGATTTAGGGTTTTCTTCCTTCTGTCTCATCCTCTTTAAGATGACAGCTGTGTTTTTGCACTGAAACAGTGACAGTGCCACTCATGGAGGTAGAGAAGTATAGCTTTTGAGGTGGTAGCAGCGGGGAGCACATAATTTGGTACGGTGGCCTTCACTGAACAGCTCCTGAGGTGTTTGCTTGGCTTTTTTTTTTTTTTTTTTTTTTTTTTTTTGAGACAGGATCTCACTATGTAGCCCTCACCGGCATGGAACTCACTATATAGATCAGGCTGCCCCGCTTCTCAAGTACTGGGATTAGCCTTTGCATAAGACCCATCTGCCCGTGTCTGCCTTTTCTGTGCTGATCTTGAAGACTAGGAAGGGGTGTGTGTGTATGCTTAGTGTCCTCCTCACAATAGACGTACGGCATGGAGGGAGGAGGCCTTGCAGCCCAAGACCTGCATGCTTCTTCTTGCACTGATTTGCAGCAAATACTGTAGATACAGAAGCCGTGTGACCAGGGCTGGAATGTAGCTCAGTGGTGGACCGCGTGCTTAACATGTATGAAGCTCTGAATCCAGTCATGCAGCACCACCACCTCAAGAGTCACGTGTTCTAAGTAAAATTAAATGGTTCATAACATTTGAACTTGTAGTTTTCTAGTTTGTCTGGCACTGCTCCAGCGTCCCTAGAAGACACCAGGATCAGACTCCAGACACAGTGGCGTTCTCCGGACCTGAGAATGCTTCAGCATTGGTGACCTTCAGATCTCGACATTAGACCTGCATAAAATAATCTTTTCTAATCTTTACCATGCTTCACTTAGAGTTTCCCTGTTACTTTGTGATCTCTGTGTACCTTTACTTCATTTTTAACAAGATACTGAGAGTCTGGAAATGTTCATCTTGGATCTTGTCCACAATAACAATTTATTATATCTTTCCACCTCAGAATAATTTTCAAACCCCACACGATCTTTTCTGCCTCTCTGTTCTACCAGGCTGCCTAACCACTTTTCTCTTTCTTACTCCTCCTTTCTGAGTCTTCTGGTTTTTTTTTTTTTGTTTTTTGTTTTTTGTTTTTTGTTTTTTCGAGACAGGGTTTCTCTGTATTGCTTTGGAGGCTGTCCTGGAACTCAGCTCTGTAGACCAGAGCTGGTCTTGAACTCACCCAGCCCGCCCAGAGAGCACCAGAGAACAGGGCTTGTGCAGGGGAGGACAAGACCAAGCCCCCAGCCTGGCTCTAGCTTGGGCGGGTTCTGTTCTCCCCAGGAGGTTGCCTCTGTGTAGCTAATTACATTGAGTAAAGGAAATGGGAAAGTGAGTACTAATGAATTGATTTTTTTTCTTCCTCCAGGTGCTTTCTTTGCTGAGAACTGATCCTTTGAATTTAGAACCCCAGGGCCTGGCAAGGCAGGACCTATTAAGCCCAGCTGAACAAGCACATGCTACTATCAGGTCATGGCTGGAAGAGCGTTTGCACCAGGCAGTGGGCCGTGTGGTGTGGGATGATGCTACCAGGATGGAATGCTCGGATGCTCTGGCATTACCGGCCCCAGACAACTCACATTTGGATTGCATCCTGCCGTTTACAAAAGGCTTTTGTATCTCTCATCCCACTGGCTGCTCGCAGCCTTTCCGGATAAGGTAGCTCAGAAAGCTGGGCCTGTCATGTGTTGCCCAGTGACTGGCAGCACTGCCTAGCTCTTACCCTAGTCCTCATTCTGAAGATCACACCTAGTTCTCATTCTGAAGATCACACTTCTCTTTGAACCCCCGGGCAATTGCTGACGCTTTTCCCGATGTCTCTAAAACAGGAGCAAAGGGTGGTGGGTGGTGGGCAGGTGCCTATTACCCCTCCCTATAGTCTGGTGAAAAGATTTAGCATGAACTGGGGTTTCAGACTACAGCAATCAATCCTGGTCCAAGTAGAACGGAAACTGTAAGCAATCTAATTCACAGAGGAGAGATATACAGAGATGTAATTTTCCCGAGAAACAAACGGTGGAAGGCAGGATTTCAACACCGACTTAGTGGAGATGGGATATGCTGGCTTACAGCGAGGGGTAACCACACCATCAGCATCTCAGAAGCTGGGGCTATTCCGGGCAGAGCTCTGTTCAGCACACACGCCTTTGATTTGATCTCCAGGCAACTTCCAATTCAATATCTTAGCAAAATGAAGATTAATTTCTCCCTCAGCTCCCATTGACAAAGGGATTCTGCATTACACAGTCACTCAGGGGCCCAGACAGAAACCACTGCAAAGTTCACCACCTGGAACTGAAAACAGGAGCTTGGATGTTCTTTTTCTTATAAGACATTTATTCCTGATTTAGCGCCATAAGATCATCAAACACAGGACAAGGGCTGGCATGTCTGCACTCGGGAGGAAGAGGGCAGCCAGGACTTCATAGTGAGATCCTGTCTTAAAACAAACAAATCAACAAACACCCCTAAACAGCAAACAAGGAAAGTGCTAATGTGCTACACACAAAACCCTATGATCAAAAGAGAAACTATGAGTGTAGACCAGCTTGATGTTTCTCAGGATAGAAGAAAAGGTGATTAATGAGTTAGGCAAGATTCGTTTTAGGGAAAGGCCTTTGAGGTGGCCTCTCAAATAAGTAAACTCTGGAAAAGAGAAGGTCAAGGGCTTCTCTAGGCGGAGACACAGCAGCAGGGAAGCTCAGGGCTAACAAGGCACACTCATCTGTCTAGATTGAAAGGTGGGAAAGAAAAGTTAGTGGCCTGACTCCTTGGGGGGGATAACTTGGAATCATATCCTGGAGGACTTAGAGCTTTACTCTTGGATGAGAAAGTGCAGAAAGGCATTGTCTAAAGCTAGGCCAAGAGCATGTGTCCTGACTCTGAAGACCTCACATGGAGAGAGTAGCTTTTAAAGCCTCAGAGCCAGTATTTATCCTAGTGCTTGGACTTTGGGAGCCCATTCCCCATGGAGGGACACTCTCTCAGCCCAGAGACATGGGGGAGAGCCCAGGCCCTGCCCCAAATGATTTGACAGACTTTGAAGATCCCCCATGGAAGGCCTCACCCTCCCTGGGGAGTGGATGGGGATGGGGTGGGGGGTTGGTGGAGGGCATGGGAGGATGAGAGGGAACTGGGATTGGTATGTAAATAAGATTGATTCTAATTTAAATAAAATATATATATAAAATCCTCGTAGGCTTGGTGATAAAGGCCATGTCTTTACTATTTGCCCTTGAGCTGCAGGTCACTTCCATGAGGGACTGGAGTCAGGACTGGATGTAATGCATAGAAATAAGTGTGGTCTGTATGACCTTCTCGGGGTTCAGTAGGTTTAGGCCTTTGGAGCTCCAAGTGGTGTGCTGTACACAGTCTTGTCTCCCAGCAGCACTGGCCCTGTGCAGGGTCTCAGCGCTCACAGCACAGGAAGCGCCCAGCCAACACCACTTGGCCTAGTCACTTGGGCCTCAGACGGCCTAACTCTGCCTTTTCGCTCTGCCCCACCTCCCTTTTCTTGTTGTTTCCGGATCCAATCAATGCTGCTGCTGCTTCTTTATAAAACAAACGCATGCACAAATCCCCCAAAACTGTGTTGGTTCTACTTACCTGACTGTGGCCTCCAGATTCAGCCTGCACCTGGTCCTCAAGGCTCCAAACTCCAGCCCCTGCGGTAGCTGCACTCTTCCCGATAAACCTTCTGAGCTGTGATCTGTAACCTTTGGCAATGGCTTGCACCTGCTCCCCCGCGTGCCCCCACCCCCAAGGCCTGACACCTGATGCACACAGGACATGAACTCTACCAACCGAGCCACATTCCCAGTCTTGCCTTCTTTCTTCCTCACACTGTTTCTAGCTGCGCTCTGCCTTCCTTGTGTGTAAAAAGGCTCCCAGGAACAGTCTTGAATTTCCTTGGTCATTAACCAGGCAAGGACAGCACACTGTTGCATTTCTCTCATGGTTTACAGCCTCAAAGACTTACTATCTCCGGTTCTGCCGACCCTTTAACATTCCTGCGAGGTCAGCAGTGTGAACCCCAGTCCGTTAGGTGGCTGATACACCATCGGCTTCTGCACCCTCACACTACCAGCTCAAATGGCCAGAGACCTGCAGATGCTTTTATCCAGATCACAGTATTTGCATACACAGAGCAGCCCAGAGGAGCCCTGTGGGATTGGGGCTGCCCATGCAGAGGTTCCTGTCACTTCACCCTCACAATCAAGCCTGGCCCTGAGCATTCGGAAGCCACAAAAGCATTGAGACCTTTGTCCTAGAGCTGCCAGAATTGGCCCCCGGCTTCTCCAAGGCTCAAAAACTGGTGAATAAAATGTCTATCACACGGTCTTGAAGTGAAGCTATATAACTTTTGCAATCTCAGTCTTCAGCTTTCCCCCACCCCCAAACCCGGACCATTTCACACAAAACTGAGCAGGCCTTTAAAGTAGCCAATTGTTCATATATTAAATAACACAAACATGGTACTTTTTAAAACATTTATATTTATATATATAAAATTAAATATATAATATATAGTGTGTTTGAGGCTAAAAATATAGTACACAATATTTTTTTTAAAAAAAAGGAAAAAAATGTCAGAATAGGAAAAGGTGTAAAGGACACACAGATACACATTGCTAAAAATCTATGATGGTTTGTCCTAACAAAAATACTTTTTTTTTTTCTCTTAGTTGTCATCATGGATCCATTTATGAGGATTTTGGTAGAGAAAATTTGACTGGCATCAGAAATGGGGATTGCAATCCCAGGAATGGCTGGGGTAGACAGTTTGATCCCAAGAGCCCTGGGTGCCCTGTTAAAAGTGGAGGCAGCATGACCTTGTGGGTCACTTTTGCTAAGGAGTCTACTTCTGTTGTATCAGCAAATTGAATGTTCTCTCTCCAGAGTGCTGGTGTTCCCAGGGTCTACCAACAGGTCCCGAAACCAAGAGAAGAACCAGGCCACCAGTTTGCAAAGGCCAGTGATTGGGGGGTAGCATCTGCTAGGATGGGTACTAAGACGGGTAAGATGTTCTGTGCACACAAAATTATTACTATCGTAAGGGTAGGCTTGCACCAGAAGTTCCTGGTATGGCCTCTGTCTTCTGTGCAACAATTCTTTTCCTCTGGGAAAGGGCCCTGGGGTTCCCTCACAGTGATGCAGGAAGTCTCAATGCTGTACCCTCCTCTCAAATCCCTATTCTGCCATGCCACATGCCTCAGGCCTCTCCACTGGCCAAAGGGTGGTGTCACAGGCAAGCTGCCAAAGGTTAGTCAGCATTGGCCAGAAAACACCGCCTTCAGGAGAAGGAAAAATAGCCCGGGAGGTGGGGAGGACTGGGGAGAAAGGAATGTTGGGTTTGGGTGACAGTTTTACAGTCTTCACAACAGTCAATGCCTCACCAATGGAGTCTTGAGGTCCGTGTACCTCATGTTCTGTTATCATTCACCGGTTCTGTAGGCACACAGCAAGCCTGGGCTCAGAGTACACAGAAATGAAATAGCAGGGAAGCCAGGTTTTTTGAGCCTGTGGTGGCTTTGGGAGGTCATGTTATTCACCCTTAGGGACAGAACTACTCACAGAGCAGGCTGAGGCAGTGACTGAGACTCCACATGTCCAAACAGGGTCTTTGGCTTTAACATGAGTCTCTATAAATCCCAATTGCCTAACATTGCTATGTAGTGGGCCAAGTACACAGGGCCACCCAATTCCATCTTAAGGAGCCCAGGAGCCATGGCTCCTGACAGAACACCCACAGGTCAACAGAACGCAAGGGGGCAAGACAGGGGTCAGTGTGCTCCATCCCACAGGGCAGGGGACGTTCCTGTCCACACAGCAAGGAGCGCAGCTGTCAGCATGAGGAAAGCGTGTCACCCAGACTCATGTGAGTGGAGCTCATCGTTCTCATTCCGATGCCAACATCTGCTTCCATTCCTGGCTACTTTCCTTTCTCTCAATAGGTTTTGTTTCGTGCACATTCTGTGGTTAGTCTTTGGGGGACCAGGACTCGGCAAGCAGGCTGGGCTCTCCACAGAGTAAGGTTCACCCAGAGCCACAAGGGCCATATGCAGAGTTTATGTTAAAGCCACTAGCCGCTTCTTCCTCTACCAGCTTCCCTTTCAACCTACAGGGAGGGGTTAACTGCTCCTGAAGACCCAGCGGAGGGCAGCTTCCCCATCTTACCGAGTCCACACGGGGCAGTCTGCAGCCACACTAAAGGAAACTGGGCCCTACCATGATCACAGCAACCTGTTGAACCTAAGAGGAGAACAACACAGATTGCTCCATTTCACTCAGGGTTAGGGGCGATAGGCAAGCTCAGGAAGTTGGTGGTACAGGCAGGGCGTCTCCCCTGCCCCGACCCTCACCTTGATTGCTTACTGTCCCTGAGTTTTTGATGGATGGGCAATCCCAAATTCTGCCTCCCCAGATGAACACAGCCAACACAGAACAGTTGTAGGTAAAGACCAGAAAATCAGAGGCAATGAAAACAGAAGTCAGATCATGGTTACTCAGCAAATGGCAGCTGCAGAACGGGGTCATGGACCTCTTGATTCCTGGTTCCTTATTCTTTCAACTAAGGATCACCAAGTAATAGGGTACCGGCATGCTGCTATCAACTAGCTTCAGATGGAAGAGCCCTGTGATTAAGGGGCCTTCAACTCCCCAGACACGCAATCCCGCTGGTTATTCTGCAGGGCCCAACTCGGATTCTGACTGTAGAATCTGGGTGGTAGGAAACGAGTCTGTCTCAGTGGTGTTTCCTGTGCTGTGTATGGTGCTTGATACCCACAAATTTCCGGCAGGGCTTGACCTTAGCGATGTTCTTGTTTCCATGGGAGGGATCTACTGCTTAAATCAGGGAGAAATAAGAGAAGCAAGCCAAACCCCAAACAAGATGATTATTTTAGGGAGTATTGCTGTTTGAAATGCCACTCTATTTAGATTTTAAAGTGTTTGGATCATCCACGGCTTGAGGTGTGAATGAAAATTAAAAACTTGCATGAATTCATATTCACAAGAACCTACACTGTAAACACACTGTCTGCCTCACTGAGTTCTCAGGAAAGGACTCCGGGAGTCCTCTGAACTGGACTATAGCTACGAGCCTGTCAGTGCTGCGGGGAGGCCCACTCTGTGCAGACGCGCTGATTGGAGTAGAAGGGAAAACTGTGTGGCAGGCTGGGAATGGACCTCCTTGATCTCTGAGTATTACCCGGTCCTTATCAGAAAGGAGAGAGCTGACAGTATCACCCCACAGGCCCATATAAGGTTAGTGACGACTGTGGCTGATGAACTCATGGACATGATTAATGAATGGTGACCAATGAGAAAGGGCAAGGAATACTCTGGGAACACTGCCTCCCGTCATGCAGGCCTCAGTGGGAAGGCGGACAGTAGGCTCTAGAATGGCAGTAGACTCCAGATGGGCAGCGGTTTCTTGGAAAAGTGAGCCTGAATCAGGAGTTACAGAATCTTTGGTCAGACGGTGGCAGATGAGAAGTGGCATGGAATGTGAGAGAGAGAGAGAGTGTGTGTGTGTGTGTGGTCGTGTGTACGCTACATGGGAAGAGACAGCATGGGTTGTAGACTACGATGCCTGCAGTGTTCTGCACTGGGGGCTCCAGCTAGATCAGTAAGAAGTTTCCTGTAGGGCCATTTCCAGGCCCCCTTCCCTTCACACCCTCTCATTGGTCTCTTCCTAGATGCTAACACAGGACAATCTAAAGCTCACAAATCGCTGCTCCCCGCACAGGGACAGCATCACGAACCTGACACTCAAGGCACTGAAAATGGAAGAAGTCTGATTGGCCTGGGGGTGGGGTAAGGAGGAGACAAACCCAAAATGTGCCTGGATAAAGTATTTACCGTGCCACCTGCAAGGTGAGTTCTAACTAGGTTGAGTCCCAGTGTAGGACAGTAGCGTCTGGGGTTCAGGACTGCTTAACTCTATCAGGACCCAGCAGCAGGCAGGTCTCGCCATTGGGACGTACGTACACAATAGATTCAGAGCGCTTGGAGACTTAGAATAATGCAAGGCGTTAGGAGCCTGGTGGAGGACAGGTACCCCTTTCCTTTCCACAGGGACTGGCATATGGTGGGGAAACCTCTACAGCTTTTCTTTCCGAATGAGGTTTTTATTGCCTTTGAAAAAAAATAGCTCCATGACACCTCTGCCCTACCCTATTCTCCAAGGCTCACGAGTAAATACCGAGAAGGAGCAGATAACATGAAAGAAGAAGGCTGGCGTGGTTCTGACTACGGTTGGATCAGGGACTGCCAGGCAGCACACCGTGGTCCCTTGCCCGCCCACCAGGACACATCTGGCTGGTCCAGCACGAAGCAGAGTGGAAAGGGAACGGTGCTACGGGTGATTTCTGGAGCCCTCCTCACTAAGACAGCCACAGACAGCAGCTGCTGTGACTGGCATTTTGACCCCAACTGACCAAGGATTGGATTTGAACTCCCTGTCCCATCTGTAATCTCCTGAGATGGGGAAAATTAACTTAAGTATGAGAGAAATCAAGAGAGGGACTGGTAGGCTGCCCCGCATCCCAGCTGCCTGGACTAGAGCCACCTAGGCCAAAGCTGCCCACCTCAGCACACCTCCATGGCCACGTGTGGGAGATCAGAGGAGCAGGACAGAAAGGAAATGATAAAGTGTGCTCGTCTCTCCTCTCCTTCCCCCTCCTCCCCTCCCCACCACCTCCAGTTCCCTGTGCCCAAGCCTGGTCAGGAATGAACAAAGGCCAGTAGAGACATCCTCCTGGAGAAGAGCTCAGCAGGTCTAGGGGACTGGGGCACGCCCAGAGCACCATCCTTGGGATGGGGTGTTCCTGGGAGACCTGCTCCTTGTTTGTGATGGCAGGAGGAGGAAGGCTGGGTCCAAGAAAGGAGCAATGAGCAATGTCCCTGAATGTCAGGGAAGAGCTGGGAAGCCTTCTCCTCTGCCCCGCAGAGATACCCCAGCCAGACTCCAGCCTCTACACGTGAGTCTGCATGCGCTGCTGAAACCGCTGGCCGTAGTCTGAGTGCTGAGAGGTGTAGGAGAATCGCGTGGCCGTGGCATACTTGCCGATAGGGTCATAGGCCTCATAGGGGGTCCTCTCCAGGCCAGAGGGCGGGGCCTGGGGGTAGCCTAGCCGGTATGTAGGATACCCAGCTGCCCCAGGGAAGGGGTGGGAGTTGAACTTCTCATAGTTCTCGTAGGACAGCTGGCTGGTTGTATCGGTGCCACCAGGAGCAGAAGGGCCAGAGGGTGGGGGCTCTGTGCCATAGTCAGAGGCAGGGGCCCGGCTGTAAGTATTGAGCTGGGCGTAGCCACTGGAGTGAGAGAGGCGGGATGATGGGCGGCCGTCAAAACGTGTAGGGCCAGGGGCGCGGTAGTCGGCATACAGCACTGCCCTGGAGGAGGGGCGATCTTCATGGGCACGCACGTTGTAATAGCCGTTGGTGGGATCCTGGGAGGCGGTGAGAGAAGGGATAAAAGTGGAGTCTCCTCCGGTGTAATAAAATCCCAAATGGCCTTCTGCCCACGCCCACCCCGACCCACGCTCTTCTCACCCCTCCATCTCCTGTTCCTTCTGCAGCCCTCCTGACCACTCCTCCCCGGATGCCCGCCCCGCCCCCCGTCCCACGTGTCTTGCTTCAATGCCGCTTCCCACCTTCATCTCATACTCTTCCCGCGTGTCGATGGTGTCACAGCGCAGGTCCTGCTTCAGATCCACGTCGTCCTTAAAGGACTGAAGAACAGGGGCGGATGTCAGGGGACAGACACCGCTTTTACCCCCTCCCCGCCTTTGCCAACTCCACGCCCAGAGGCCACCTGCTGAAGGAAGCCCTGGGAACACATCTCAGTAACGAGGAGGCTGAGCCCAAACTCTTCTACAGGTCTCCCTCTGTGTGAGGAGAGTCGGCCGGCGGGGAGGAGAGATTAGCTTTGCATAAGTGTGTGGAAGGGTGCCAACGCGCAAGTGTAACTTCCGGTGGGAGGGTTGGCACACAGGACTTGGGGTGGCAGGCACAGATTAAGCTCGCTGAAGAAGAAGGGGTGACAGAAGATAGTAAAACCTGGTGGAGCTGGCCCTAGGACGCTGAAGAACCTAGGCCAGCGAGAAGCGTGGTCCTCACCGAGTAGATGGCCTTCATGACCCGAGTTGCGGTGGATATGCTGGCGGTATCATCCTCCCGGTCAGAATGCATGGTGAGTGGCTCCCGATTCACCGTCTCTACCTTGATGTCCAACTTCCTCAGGGTCACATCCTTTCGACCTAGGACACGGAGGTGTGGGCGGTCTCTGCAGCACCGGCTTCCAGCCCCCACCCCTTGATGTGACCCTGAAGGGTAAGGTTGGGGGATGAAGGGTTGGTTATGGCCGCACGGCGCCTGTACTCACTGCCTTTGCGGCGTCGGTAGAGGAAGAACACTAAGGCAACAAAGAAGAAGATGACCAGGATGCCTGCGCCAATGGTGGCCCCAGCAATGATACCCACAGGTAGCACTTCTATAAACAGGGGGCGGGAGAGAAGGAGTGAGGATGCCGCCACACGCAGACCTGAATACTTGGCCATGAGATACGGTGCCAACCCTAGATTCCGTACAAAGCTAAGTTTTGCCTGAGCTGGGCTGTGTTGATGTCTAAGTCCAGGCCACACTGGAGAAGATCGGGGCTGAGCCTGGATTGAGATCTGGGCTTTCATTTGGCCAGAACTGATGTCAGGGCAGTGTTCCATCTCTGCCATCAGTTTGCCTAGAGCTGTTTTGCCCCTCCTTTTAGCCCACCTACCCGTGAAGCTAGGCCCCGCCTTCCTGAGCTGGGCTTCTGTCTGCAGTCAGCTCTCTCCAAATTCCAACCTGCCACATCTGTTCCCACCTCCTCTACGACATTTCTTGCCTGCAACATTGCTCCATCTGCACTTGCGGCGTCGATGGTCCTCTCTAGTGCCCCTGCTTCTCTTAGCTGATACCGAGCCCAGGAATGCTCCCTCAGGCCTTCTCTCTCTTTCTGGAATTACTAGCTGGATCCAGACTCTGGCTATGGATCTGGCCCTCTAAGATCCTTCCCACATTACCCTTCTCTGTTTCCCATACCCACCCCGCAGGTATCTTTAACTAAACCAGACATTTCCCAAGGGTCTTCTGTATCTCCTTTTTCAATGACCGTTCTCAAAAACAAACATTATTTTTCCTTCACCAAACATCTCTGTCAAAATCTAGATACCTTCTTCATCTTGCCAAAGGTACCTGGAGAGAATATATCCCTTCTATAAAACCAAGGCCCCTTGAAAGGGTAGTGGAACCTTCAAAATTTACAAATATCCCCCATTTAATCCTCTCAATAACTTGTGTTAATCTGTCACATGCAGCATTTAATTCTTCTCCGTCTGAATTATTTTGTTTCTACTATCTAAGTTCCTCCACTAAGGTGAACGTTTCTTGTGGGCAGAGATGACGCCGTGTTCACACCTGCAACCCTTTCCTTCAGAGCTGACATGTAAAGATGTTCAGGAACATTTATGGAGTAGATTAATTAGCTGAGCACTATAATTGGCTTCTGGCAGAGAGGCCAGAGAGAGAGAAGATGAAACTTCAGGCTACCCTGAGTAGGCCACATAGCTGACCTCGTTCCTCCAGCTGGATGATGGCAGTGCCTGGCCCGAAGCTGTTCCAGGCAGTGCAGTTGTAGTGGGTCTGAAAGTCAGCCTCCATGACGTTGTTGATGGTGAGCGTGGACAGCACGCCGCTCCCTGAGTTAGTCCTCTCCACGGTGTATCGCTCAAGGGTCCCCACCTCTAGGAAGTTCTCCTTCCATGCCCATGCCTGGGGGAAGGGGGGAAGGCAGGAAGGACGTAAGAAAAGAACACTAGAAAAAGCACACTGTATCCCACTCTTAGGTAGCCTTACCCCAGGGAATGTGTTGTCCCCAGGCCCAACAAACCTCCGCCCTGAACAACCCGTGTCCCACCAACTGCCGCAAATCCTAGACACTGCTCTTCCACTCCCGCTCCAGAGGCTGTGGCTCCCACACAATAGACTTCTCCAGAGAGACTTTAAAAACTGCTACCTTGAGACTTATGTGCCAAGTATCCAGGAACCTGCTTCTGCAGTGGTCCCATGCTGTAAGAATGACACTGTGTGGCATCTTGTGATGTGGAGGCAGCTGAGCTAGGGAGCCAGTATTTGGACCTTGGGTGTGGCAGGGACTTTAGTTCCTACACCTCCCACTCCAGAGCAGCCACGTGGCCATGCTTTCCCCGCCTGGGCCTCATTTTCCTCGTCTCTGAAACAGCAGATGCTGGCCAGTAAATGGCAGTGCTCAGCCTTGGGATTCTCACTGCAAATGAGTCTGTCCTACCAGCCTTACCACGAACCAACCCACAGAAGCCTGCCTGGCTCTCTGGAGATGCGTCTGCCTGCTCTTAATTATGAGCAGGGAGTCAAGAGGAGTGTCCCCCAGGCCTCCCATCCCTGACCGCCCCAGCCGAGGCATTCCCAGCCGCGTGTGCCCGTGGCAGAGGGGAGGCTAAGGGAGAGGAGCAGCCACGTGTTGGCTCCTTTCCAGAGATCAGTCCTCCCAGCTCTATGAGGCAAACCTCCCGGGAGCCAAAGCGTCTTCTGCCTAGGCAGCTGTGGTAATGAAGTATCCCTGGGCAGCCCTGGAGTTAGCCAAATGGTCATTAAATGTGATGAGGGTTTTGATGGTTAGTGGTCACAGGAGGAATTAGTTGTTTATGGTACAGGGGAGCAAAGAAAATGATGAGCAATGGTCAGGGACTTGTGGGAGGCAGACAGGAAGAGAAAGAGTGGGACAGGTGGGAGGGGGAGGGGAAGAGAAGAGCGGAGACGAGGGAACAGAGAGACAGGACCCTCACCAGGAATGAGAGGGAACCCGCCGCCCCCTGGCTCCAAGGAGCTCGGGCCTTTACAACCACTGCTGGAATGACTTATCTCGGGACACGCCTCCCCTTGGAGGATGAGGAGCTGAGGTCCAAAGCACCGATCTGCTCAGGGCCACACAAGTAAGGGAGGAGGTAGGATGGGAACAGGTAAAATGATACAGAAACTGAGAAGCCAGACGATTACAAGGCCAGAAGAGGGTGGGGAGACGGAAGCTGCAAGTCGGAAGTGGTGAGGAGAAGCTGGACGGGAGAGACGCATCAGGGCTGCCTGCTAAGCTGGGCCAGCACTCACAATCCGATCTGGGGGTGGGGTGCTCCCGATGAAGCACTCCACCTTGCCACCGTCACCTCTCACAGCGAACTGCACTGCCTCGCTTGAGATGATAGGGGGTCCTGCAAGCAGGAAGACACGGTCAGGCCAGGCAGTCGCTGTAAGGCTTGCCCCCACCCCCCGGGTCTCACCCACCTAGTGCACTCACCGTTTACATAAAGCGGTACCTCTCGCTCAGCCACTCCGATTCGGGGCACGATGGCCCGACAGGTGTAGGTGCCAGCATCTGCCTGGGTCACTGACTTCAGCAACAGCTGATTGCTGTTACTCAGGACCTGGGCAGAGAGATTAGCCTCGGGTGGGGAGCCAGGACGCCTGGGCCCCTAGGTGGGCGAGGGCCCCGCATCAGAGGCACGGGAAAGAAAGCACGAAGAGTCGCACGTGAATTCCCAGAAGGTTAAGGGGTTCCTGAGTCTGGTTGATCTATCCCCTGACTCTAAGCAGGCTGGCAATAAGGGCGCCGTCTGTACCGGAGCGGCAGATGTTGGCTACGGCAAATGTCAAAGTCCTTTCTGATGATCTGTTCCCGCTTTAGTTACCAAGCCAGGTAAGACAGTTTGTTCCCAACTTCCTCTGTACAATCCTAGCTCGGGCTTTCTAGGAGGGGTCTTGAGAACTTTGCCAGCTCCGCCACCGCCCTGTGCACCGTTAAAGCACTGACCCCCTGACTGCTGCAGAATGCCACCCGTCCCCTTCATCCTCTCCACCCCTAGTCCTAAGCCAAGTCCAGGAAGGGGACAGCTGGCTGCAAGCGTGCCCTTCTCTCCCAAACCCCACCGCCCTAGGCGTGTTCCGGTCTGGACCGGACAAAACAGTCCTGAGCCCTCCCACTGTCTCCACAGCACCTGGATGGCCACGCCCCTTCCTCCCAGCACTCAGCCCAGGCCGGCCGAGGGTTACCATGTTTGAGTCCTTCTTGGTCCAGGTGAGGGTGAGGGGGGGATTCCCAACCCAGACACAGGTGAGGGTCACATCAGAGCCAATGTCTGTGGTGGTGGGCTTTGGGTCAACTACAATCCGGGGCGCAACTGAGGGAGGGAGAGAGAGGTGCTGGTCAGAGTCGCAGGGACCTGAGGGTCAGTGCCAGTCTGCCCCTTCTTTTCTGCTCTTGTCCGGGTTCGCTGCTGTCTCCCCGCCCCCTGTACCCAGGGTGAAGGCCCTGCTCGGTCCCCGCCCGCTCCCACCCTGCTCGGTCCCCGCCCCCCCCCCGCTACTCACAGTGAACATTCACTAACGTGCTGACGTTAGTGCTCCCCACTTTGTTGTGGACCTCACAAGACACAGGCTCCGTGAAGAAGGAGTAATCAACATTTGTCTCATAGCGACTCTCGTGGGCATCTTCAATGAGGAACCCGCCTTTGGCCCACCTGGAGGACGAGGCAGCACAGAGGTCAGAACTCGGGACTCTCTCAACCCCGCTCGGGGACCGTGGCCTCCCCGGTGGCTCCACCACCACTCCGTCTCAAGGGCCCCTCCCCATCACTGGCATAGCACCCCCAGACCCCGACCCTCTCACCTGTAGCCCAGGATCTCAGGGTTGGCGGTGGCCTGGCACGTAAAGATGACTCGCTCGCCCTCCTGCACCGTCTGGGGCTCAATGGACAGAGTCACTGTAGGAGGATCTGCAACGCAAGGGAGAGGAAGACAGAGTCTTTTCTGTCCCGGGCTTCTCTCTTTCCCTCCGTGACAGATGTATCCACACCACTTTGAACTCAAGTTTACAAAACATCAGTTATCACCTTCACTCTTTCTACAACAGCCTTTCCAGGGCTCTCGCTAAGAATGACACTGAGGAAACCAAGTCTTCAATGGATGTAATGGCCCAATATGGCCACTAGGTGCCGCTGTGAGTTAGTTTAGCTTATGTAGGGGCTAGAGCATCCCTGACTAGGAGGGATGCATGAAACAGGAAGGCATGCTCTTCTTTAACACTCACAGCCTCAGCAAGCAGATGTGATACCCTACTCAGTGCTCCATGTACCAGCCATCGTTGCCCGCGGACCACACCAGGATCCTCATTCTGTGCTTCTAAAACTGCCTATGTTCTGTCCCATCTCATGTCCCCTACCCAGTACCCCACTCACGGTGTACATCGAGCTCGATGGATGTCTCCTTGCCATTGGGTATGGCCTCGTTCATGCTGCGGCAGGTGAACACACGCCCGATGTCTAGGTCTGTGGGGTGAATGAGCAGCTGGCTGATCGTAGTCTCCCGTTTACCATCCTTCAGCAGTTCCTGGGCAGAGGCGAAGATAGAGTCAAGAGAAAGTGCCCTCCTCTGCTCTCAGAGAAGCCAACTGAAGGATAGGCCTTTGTGGCGCAGCTCCTTCCCTGTCCCGGCTTCTTCGTATGTTAAAGAAGTATGCTATTTTAAAAAGCTCTCTGAAATCTATGGAAAAATCGAACAGGAAGTAGTTTCCCTCTCCACCATGGCATCCCTCATTATTATACCTTACAGTAGTGTGGAGGGCTCATTACAACAGACATACCAATATTGATATCTTACCACTAACTGGGGTGTATGGTGCACATGAACGCTTACTCTCTGCGGTATGATTTCCCTCTGTGTAACCGAGCCTTATTCCTGGAAATCTCGAGGCCCACAGTTAAGTTCTTCCTCTTCTAGAAAGTCCTCCCAGGCCAGCCCAGACCTCTCTCCCGCCTGGACTGGCACCATGTACAGTTAGAATGTCTTACATTTGGCACCATGTGTTACAGTAAGTGCAGGGCCAGATTCATCGGCTCAAAGACTCACTGGCTCAGTGACATCCCAGGCCACGTCCTATATTGTCACCTACCCACGGAAGCCACGCTACGGACAAGAATAAGGCCTCTCGCTCAGACAGCCGTGCACGCACCTTTACGTGACCAGTGCGGCACCCAGCTGAGGCAAAGCACAGTGGTGTTTTGGAGCGCCACAGCCTTAAGTGAATCCGCAAAGGAGAGGAGCCGGCAACAAACGGTATTAACAAATCAGCTTGTCTGGCTGCCAAGGTAATGTAAAAGATGTGGCCCCTCCCCCAGGAGGAGAACAGCAGGTTTGCTGGTGAAAATGATTGGCTCCACTGGGGTCAAATAATCATTTCTCAGATGGTGACACTGAGGCCATGAAGGAGAGATTTGCCCAAGGCCACAGCGGTCAGTCACTAAGAGCTAAAGCCAGAATCCGAGCTCTCCATCCTCATACTCTAGGAACACAGGGGGCGGTTTCTCTCCCCGCTGGGAAGTGTCACTGTGCCCAGCACAGGGCTAGGAGCACTGCAGGCCGCAGCTGGCAGAATGCTTTACGTTCTGGATTCCACCACCATTGGTGTTGCCATGTGACTCCAGGTAAGACACTCGATGCCTTTCTCTGCCGTGCCTTCCCCATCAGAGAATGTGCACAACCCGGCTTCCACAGCTCTCAGCTGTGCTGAAGGAAGAGGGCCAAAGAGATCAACACGGGAGCCAGACTCGGGTACAGAATGCCAATCCCGCTGCTTGCTCTCTGTGCGACTTGGGTCAGGCACTCGACTTCTCTGTCTTTGTAAGTCGGACACAATGATGCCTACTTTGTGGGACTCTACTGAGGTTTAAGAGAAGCCGCCCATATGGTACCTAGAACACAGGAAGCACTTCGAGAATGGCACAGTGACCCTGGAGTCCTTTAGGAAAGGAAAGACAACCTGGAGCTGGGGAGCGGGCAGGTCCTCACCGTGCTAGCCACAGCCCCCTCCTGCTGTGTCCCATCCCGGAACCAAATGATGGTGGCAGCAGGCTTGGCGTTAAAGGCTCTGCACGTGAGGTTGTGGGGGGTGCCTGCTTGCAGCAGAATCACAGGGCCACCATCAATCTTTGTGTCCTCTGGAGGAACTGGAGGGAAGAGAACAAAATCAGCTCAGGATACAGCCAGCTGTGCCCCCTGCCTAGGAGGTGTCCTCCCATCTGTATGGGTCCCTCACGGTCGGGCAATGCTACCCCAGCCCAGCTCGCAATCACTACACACAGTGCTTAGGAAGAGGCTTCACTCAGCCCACAGCTCGCCGGTTACTCTTTCTCTGCTGTTCTCTGATGCTGTACTCACCACTGTTGCTCAAGGGTCCTTACTTCGATGGAAGGCTATCTCAGATCACACCCCAGGGAAGGAGGGCATCTTTCATAGGACCCCTTCCATCTATCCCTTCCAGCTGCTCCCCTGCCTGGAATGGCCAGATGGGCAACCCTACCATTACCCTTTAGAAGGTTATTTTCTCCATAGCAGTTAAGACTGTGCTGTTCTGCTCAGACTCATCTAGAGACCACAACCGCCTGTTGAATGAACTCCAAACCCTCCAGTCTCCTGTTTTAGGGTCCACAAGTCACGCCCTGCAGACCCTCACCTCCTCCTTTGCTACTGCTGTTTCCCCACGGGGCATGGCCTCTCCCAGAGCAGCTAGCTGTGGAGGAGTTACCACCCCGGCCAAATCCCGGCTGATGCGGAGAGTCCGTGTGTCCCACCTGTGGCAGTTCTGAGCTCTGAGTGTTGTCTGCCCCGTGGTTACTGTTGGTGACTGTCTCTCCCAGCCTCAATCTTCTTGGAAAAAGCAGGTCCCAGTCTCACTAGCATTTAAAAATAGTCTCCACTGCCTAATGAGTGGCTAAAGCAGGCCTTTGCTATGTGCTTAGGGAGCTGAGTTAGCTCTATACATCTGGTTCTAAGAAATAAGGTACCTTTCCTTATACCACAGCCACAGGCTTCTAAGTGTTAAGGTGAACCAGATCCTCAGTTCCCCAAGGTCTAAGTTCCCTGAGGACAAGGCTTCTTCTTCTTCCTCTTTTTCTTCTTCTTCTCCTCCTCCTCCTCCTTCTTTGAAATAAAGTATTTATTTACTTACTATTTTCAGACAGACACTGGCTATGCAGTCTAGGCTGCCACTGAATTCATGATTCTCCTGCCTCCACCTCCCAAGTGTAGGGATTAGAGGCATGTGACATTGTATCGGTTTCTTCCTATGAACTGTCACAGCTGTAGTGTCTAATCAGAGCGGGGTGAACCGCAAGCCCTTAGGGGTTACTGGCTGAACTGTCTATTGAGGGGATAAAGGCAGGAAGATTTTGATAAGACATCTAGGTCTACTCAATGTTCAACAGACAGAAATGAGCAAGGATTTGGTTTTCTTGTTTCTGAGAAGAGGAAACTTCTAGGAGAGACCCTCGTGGGGAGACCTTGGGAGGTCCATGGAGCTGGAGGCAGACAGGGCTGTGCCGGCGTGGGAGAAATGAAGGTCTGTGTGCTCCAGGTACAGTTGCTGACACAGCTTTCTGTTCAGTGTGTGTGCGTGGAGTGGCAGAGAGGAGAAGGGATGGAATTTAGATTAGTGTCCTTCAAATCCTGCCACCTTCCTCTACTGTCCTGTGGTTGAGCCCCTAAGGATACTGAGTCTGTTTCTCCCTCAGAGACCCAACAGAGTCCCTCCACGGAGCCCATGAGTACGGGGTGAGGGGTACCTGTGATGTGTACAATGTACTTTTACTACGATGAAAGGATCTGGCTTCTGCCCACCTCATTTCTCTCTCAGTCCTGGCTTCCCCACCTCCTCCCTGCTCCCTGGTACGTACCATCCTGCTGACAGGGGCGAGGCTGTGGTTAGAAGCAGGAGAAACTTGAGAAGCATTCACACGGGGAGGGATGGTCTCCTGGTCTGCCCCGCCCTCTACAGTTGTACCTCCCCACTGCACTACTGAGCTGAGCCCCTAGATGCCCAGAGACGTTGGGTCCCTGCTACAAAGAGAGCAAAGCATTTCCCCTCACTGGTCTTTCTGCTCTTGTCATGCTGCTGTCCCCTTCATTCAGGCAAAGACTGTCTGTCACCCCTGTCACCAACCCACATTTCTCTAGAATTTCTCAAAGTCGTTGAAGCTAACTGTCAATTGTAAACCATAAGCCAATTAATAATAATTTCTACCATTTCCCCAAATTTTACCCCCTGTTCACTAAAGCACCTGTGCATATGACTTCATTTAATCCTTAATAGCATAAAATATTAAATCTCAGGAAGAAGGAAGGAAGGAAGGAAAGAAGGAAGGAAGGGAGGGAAGGAGGGAGGGAGGGAGGGAGGGAGGGAGGGCAGGCTGATAGCCTGATGACGTATTTCCATGCCAGTGATAAGGATCACAGCACAAAAATGACCAAGGCACGACCTGAACACAGGGCTTCGGATTCCCAGCGGCCTGGAGCTCTTTCCACTGCTCAGAGTCCCCATCCTCCCCCTCCCCCGGGAGGAAGGAATTTGGGATACAGACTCACTCCTTTCTCCCCACTTCAATGACTTCTTGCTGGAGGGAGGGCAAAGATGAGTCATGGAGGTCAGAGAGGAGGGAAAGGGACAGAGAAGATGAAAAAGGGAAGAGGAACTCACAGGGAGAAGGGTCCGAGCCAGAGAGCACAACAGAAGCCCGGAAGCTTCTGAGTTGGGGGAGCTTAAGACCTAAAGATGGGGGATGCTGGCTTCACGTTTGCTCCGTGTGGAGGACAGTGCTCTCCTCATTCGGATGGCCCAAGGCTTGCCACAGTGACATCTACTCTGTCCCCCTGTGGCCACTCTAGCTGCAAACAGTCTCGCCCCTGGGTCTAGCCCCCCAGGCTCATTCCAGGGGACATCTGACAGGAGAGGAACAGCCAGGCAGGCTGGGCTGAAAGGGAGAAGGTCTGGGGTTCAGAGGCGGCAGAGAGATGGAGAGGAACGAGGAAAGTTCTCTAAACAACAAACTTGACTGCAATGTAAATCAGGGAAAGTATGGGCTGTGTCTCCATCACCATCCTCAACACAGAGAGTCCTGTACTGTATAACTATTTCACATGGAGCTCTGGGTTCTTAGCGTGATCTGGGCAGAGGTGGGACCAAAGGATATCAGTCTTACAGAGACCATAATGCCCAGTAAAGGCTGACATAGCACAGCTGCCTCGACTGTTGACCTGCTTTTAGTTTTCGAAAGTATAATTTGCATCACGCACGCGTGTGTGGGCACGTGAGTGTGTTTATAAACACGCCTGCTTGTCTGTGTACCACACATGAGCATGTGGCTACAGAAGCCAGAAGAAGGCATTAGATTCCCCTGAAACTAGAGTTACCAGTGGTTGTGAACCACCAGATGTAGGTGCCAGGTACTGAACCCAGACATTCTGCAAAAATAGCAAACGCTCTTAAGCACTGGGCCATCTTTCTAGCCCCACTCACTTAAATTTTGAAGTTCCCTTAAGCAGTTGTTGACAGAGAACCAGGGTGAGTAGAGACAGTGTGTGTGTGGGGGGGGGGAGGTGAGGCTAGTTAGAGAGGAAAAGGTTGGGACATGGAAGAGGGACCCGGAGAGGGGAGAAACAGCTTTGGAGTCATTACTGAGCACGGTGAGCTTGGCCCTCCGGGAGCGCAGGGCAGCCTCTGTGGCCTGGCACTCATAGGAAGCGTCGTCAGAGAGCTCGGCGTCTGTGATCTCCAAGTTGTATTGCCCAGCATCCGCAGAGCCCACGACCCGGTACCGTGGCCAGGCTGCAGGGACAGAACGGGGAGACCAGAGTGAGACCCAGTCTTGAGGCCTGGACCACGCTGTCCTCCCGCCAGGCCTCATCATTTCCTCAGATCCTCGCCAAAGCAGAAGCCGCATCCAGCTCTCCCCACCCTGCCCTCTCCCGGGCACCACTGGCAGGCGAGGCTATGAAGACTCCATAACGTTGGGACCATAAAGCGGGAGGGGATGGTGAGGGATAAACAGAGAGAGATGAGCGTATGAAATCTCCATAGCTGTTTGCAGGTAAACGTCTCTCACGACGACAGCAGAGGAAGAAGAGAGTGGGCAGGCAGGCAGGAGAGTGGAGAGCAGACAGTGTGTGCGCATGCGCTCTGAGTGCAGGCGTCTCAGCACCTACTGGGCACCGCGGTGCAGCTCACAAGGCCTCATCCCCACTTACCGGGGGAAGGAGAATGAGCAAGGTTTGCAGGATCCTCCAAGGAGGACCCAAACGAGATTTCTACTTCCTTCCAAAGACACAGGGAAGGCCTCTGGATCTAGTCTGTCTTGCACACACCCACCATCTCCTGCCCACTGCCCTCTCCCCGCTGCTCCCCCCCACCAGAGGCTATGGATTCTTCTGACCGCATGTCTATTGACCTCAATCTCTCTCATCTTCTCTCTCATCAACAATAGATTCATGAAATTCATCTCTTTCCTTTATAGAGTGTGCCATGCACATTCCCTCAACCTGGACCCAACAGCAAATAATCTCACCACCCTCAAAAATAACAAGCAGAAGTGTGCGGCCCCCCCCCCACCCACTTGCATTGCCGGGGTGCTTCACAGATAACAATGTGATCCTCACAAATCGGCTAACCAAGGCAAAGTGGTTTCCTGAAAGTCATTCAGTGGGCAAGGGGCTGAGGTGTAATGACAGCCAGGTATCTTGACTCTTTATCTCTGTGCTTGCTTTGGGATATAGGAAGTTAGGGGTTTTGCCGCTGGCTGAGTCTTTATGGTTTTTTTTTTTTTTTTTCAGCACTGGCTACGTAGCCTTTGCTTAACAAATGTGTATGGAATTACTAAACAAGAAAAGCTGATGTTAAAAGCAAAAGGTTGGTCTCAAAGCAGACATGGACTACATAGGAGGATGAGAAAAGCATGAGGTACTCAAAAGGCAGACAGGGAAGGGAGAACCAGGGTAATTATTATCATTTCTGAAATAAAATGGGAAAAGGGGCAGGCGGTTCCTGAGTGTGCCACCTAAGTGGGGTGGAGCGGGCTTTGCTGTCCCAGCACCTCCTGCTTGACCCGACTGCCACACCCCTGCCGCACCCCTGCCGCACCCCATGGTGTCTCCCCGACTCTGTCTGCGGCTCTCAATGTAAAGGTCTGCCTCCCTTGGTCTCCCAGTTCACACACGCTGCCTTTCTTGAGCCAACACACAACCCGAGAAAGCGGAAGTTGCAGGGTACAAGTGAGAGACCTCAGAAGAAAGGATGGGTGGAAGTCCAGGGATCCCGGCTGAGAGTACGGATTTCTGAGTGCTGGGTGATTGAGCAGTCACACACACACGCACACACACACACACACATGCACACACACTTGCTTTTTTCCTCTTGTGCTGAGGCTCAAACTCAAGGCTTGCACACGGTAGCATGCTCTCTAAGAAAGGCACAGTCCCAGCCCGCCACTCACCTTTGAGGCCCTGGCCCATGCCCAGAGCCAGGCCGTCCTTGGTCCACTGTACAATCCCAGAGTAGTTGAGGAGCACACACGGCAGCACGGCCCGCTGTCCGGCCACCACGGTCTGATCAGCTGGCTCCTGGCTGAAGCGAGTCTGGGTCCCAGGCAAGGCGAAAGCTAGCAGTGGATAAGGAGATGAGTGAGGAGGGCTCCACTAAGGGGCTCCTTGCAGGATTCAGCTCTCATCCTACAACCCAGGCCATGCCTTCCCCCCCAGGATGCCACGTGCTCCCTCTCAGGGCCCCAGGGACAAGTCTAACGTCTGGAGGGCTTAACGATCACTTACCCAGTGACCACCCACTGAATGAACAGTAGAGCTAGGGTTTGATTTCAAGCCCTTGCCATCTGGGTCCAAGGCTGTTTTTTTTTTTTTAAACCTCTTCTGCATCCATTGCTTCCCCTTAGATTCTCAGGATCATGGGCGACACGTTCATAACAAAGGGGACTGCTATGCCACAATCTCTTCCTTCCCATGCAGTATGGACCAGCAGATGTTTGGCTTTACCGCGTCCAACATGACACTTGAGTGCATAGACAACTCTAAGGTGATAGTTCATCCAAAGCCAAACAGCCCTGAACCCGCTTCTTGGCGCACTGGCTCTGTTCCACGTGTTTACCCTTGACCCAAGGGCTGAAACACAGGGATGCACACACCAATTCATCTGCATGCACACGGCCTCTTGCATCATGGGAGTGGAGACAGTGTGGGACTTTGTTCTCTTCTCCCTCTAGCTCCAGGAGCTACACATGGCTGCCTGGCTGGCAGCTTGGCCGGGAGCATTTGATTAGAGAACTGCAGAGTAATTGCCTTTAATTGTGGAGCCTAAATGGAGTAGGGAATTGGATTGCAGATTTCTTCTCTCTTGCCACCACCAGCAGGCTTGCTTCATCACTGGCTGGTCCCAGTGGTGGGGCAGGCCTGCACACTGTGAACAGCATAACACGGGCGTTAGCCTCCTACACTAGGGAAGGAGAGGGACTGATGAGGGGTCAGCAAAGGGTTAAATCCGAGGCGTCCTCGCCATAGCTCCAATGGGTCACACCAGGCAATCAAAATAAGTTCCCTTCAACCTTCAGACTCCTGGTTCACCTTCTCCTCCAGCTCACTGAGTCTGTAGAGGCAGCATCCCCCTAATCCAATTCCTCCCAAACCCAACTTCCCAATTCATCCTCCTCATGTCAAGACCTCCCTTTCATTCCGTGTGTGGGCTTCTCCCCACTTCTGGCTCTGGAATCAAACACAGGGCACTCTGTCCCCCAGCAACACCCCAGCCCCGAGATCCTAGTCCATCCACTCCTTTCTTCTCTCCAGTTCCATTTCTTCCTTTCTTTCCAAATTTGTTTCCACATTCTCCTTTCAGGAAAGTCTCCCAGGTTGATTCCATAGCCCCTTGTGTAAGCACAGCCTGTCCCATCGCTCAGTCCTGCTGTGGCAGCTCTAGCTACAGGGTTTTCCTGTCCAAAGCTGTCAGGGATCATGTTTATGTTTTTGTCATCAGGAGGTGGAAGACAGCTTGTTGTTGGGAGTGTCTGCCTTGAGAATGGAACCTCTCTCTCACAGCACAGAGCCGGGAGCTCTCTCCTCTTTCTGGGTCTCCTGGGACCTGGCGGTCGGTCAGTACATGACACAGGTTAAATGCAACAATGCAGCTCTTTGGATCTGCATGGGGCCAGGAGGTTAGAAAACAGGTATCTGCTTTTTTGTAAGTGACTCCCCAACTCTGCAGACCCGATTCCCCAGCCTGTCTCTTAAAGGAGAAAAGGATGGCAGGTGCTGAGATCCTGCAGGAAGGATTGGTCAGGTGAGCAGCCAGTGTTATTAATTCAAGCATTTGTGCTCATTAGTATTTAAATTTATTCATATCCTCGCACATTCTCTAGTGAAGCTATGTGCACCAAACTCTGTTTCTCTTTCTCAAGGACCCTAGAGCCCAAGTCAAGTACTTGTGATGGGGTGGCCTGTGAGCTTGCATCAGAGTCTGGACCGACTGTCATAGCTCTTCTACATGAAGCCGAGGGCTGGCCTCTTCTTGGAGTCCCCGGAGGACAGTGGGCAGCTGGCTGCATGTTTAGTTGCAATGAGGAGCTGAATGACCCTGAAGTGGGATGCACCTGAAGTCAGGACACAGGGGTCTTGCTGGAGTGAGCTCATTGGAAGATGACAAGTCTGGAACAGACTGCCAAAGAACCTTTCTGCTCATGCTCAAAGACTAGGAGGATTGGCTTAGGGGAAGACTAAAGTTCCCATGGTCCCTCTGCAGCTCTTCCTAACTGGGAAGTTATCCTGCAAACTGCATTTTCTTACTTGAGGATGATATGTCTGTCTCTGGACTGCTGTGAAGCCAGATATGGGGAGGTGGATTCTAGGCCTACCAAAGTCCTTTGCGTGTACCTACTAAATAGCTATGACCATTATTCACCCCTGAGCCGTTAGACAACTAGAGGTACACATTGGGGACACTTTCAGGAACCTAGGAATGAGTGACAGAAGGGTGGTATCTGCTTTTCTGTGAAATTTGAGGTAAAATAAATTTTGACCTAGCCCCAGTTGAAGCAATTTGGTTCAGAAACAGAATGGAAGCAATGATGGGTGGCCCGATGATGAAGGAAAGGAGGGACTCTTCTGAATTTGAATTTATGGAAAGACCACTCTCTGTACCAAAGTCACAAGCAGCATTCCATGTTCCCAAACAGCCCTGCAGCCAAGACAGCATACGAGACAGACCAGAAGCCATGGGTGGTACTTAAGTCAACTCAGGATTAGGAAAAACTCAGTCTGATCTAACAGTTCTGTTCTCTAAACTCTGTATAAGCTGGGTATAGGTCACCCTTCAGCTCTTCACACGGGTCTCTGCAAAGCACCCCCTTCTCTGGGCATCAATTAGTCCCCTCTTCTGGGCATCTGCCATGACTGTCTTGCACTGCCTCACAAGACAACTCAAGTGTGTCTCCGGGGACCTGCGTGCCGGAGCTGCCAGCTAAGCTTAGGGGAGCCTGCTCTGAACAGAGAGGAAAAGAATCCCAGCCCCATCCTTATGTCTGGGTCTATGCACACATCCTCATCCATGTCCAGGAACAGAACCAACACAGCATAGCAAAGCAGAGAAAGAACCAGAAAGGGCCTGGCCACAGACAGGTGAGCACAGGCCAGCTAGCCTCTTACTGCAGCATCAACTCAAGGCCTCACATTTCTGGTGGCGTCTTAAAGTGAATTCCCACTTTGATCCTGCTCCCTCCCAACCTTCAGACTCCATCACAGATGAGGCAAGACAGCCACAACGAAGAGATACATACATGTATGTACACACACACACACACACACACACACACACACACACACACACACACAGAGGTACTGAGACGAACGCTGAGAAATAGAGCCAAGGACAGACATCCACACGAAGGCAGAAGAGAAAGGAGCAAGGAAAGACCCTAAAGACAAAGATGTCTGTAGAGTCTTAAAGGGACCAAGGTGCAAGGGAAGACAGCGGAGAGTTACAGACCAAGAGAGACCAAGGGCAGAGAGGCGGGGGGGGGCTGCAGGGGTGAGGCCGGCGGAGAGCTACAGACCAAGAGAGACCAAGGGCAGAGAGGCCGGGGGGGGCTGCAGGGGTGAGGCCGGCGGAGAGCTACAGACCAAGAGAGACCAAGGGCAGAGAGGCCGGGGCCTGCAGGGGTGAGGCCGGCGGAGAGCTACAGACCAAGAGAGACCAAGGGCAGAGAGGCCGGGGGGGGCTGCAGGGGTGAGGCCGGCGGAGAGCTACAGACCAAGAGAGACCAAGGGCAGAGAGGCCGGGGGGGCTGCAGGGGTGAGGCCGGCGGAGAGCTACAGACCAAGAGAGACCAAGGGCAGAGAGGCGGGGGGGGGGGGCCTGCAGGGGTGAGGCCGGCGGAGAACTACAGACCAAGAGAGATCAAGGGCAGAGAGGCCGGGGGGGGGCTGCAGGGGTGAGGCCGGCGGAGAGCTACAGACCAAAAGAGATCAAGAGCAGAGAGGCAGGGGCCTGCAGGGGTGAGGCCGGCTCAGCCTTTCCTTCAGTTACCTGCTAAGTCCCTCTGTCTGAGCAACCTCTCTTTCCTACCTCCACCGGGATATCTGGAGACTCAGCCGGGGAGAACAGAGTGAAGCGGAGGAGACATCCACACTGGAGAGGTAAGAGGGACCCTAGTCGAACCTGGGAGTACAGCAGCAGGAACACGGCAGAGCTCTTTGCTGCCTGCTAGCCTATAAAGAGCATGGGAGCTACAGGACGCTGCCTGCCTGCGAGCATGGGAGCTGGAGGACCCTGACCCCCTGCCGTCATCACCCTGCCCTGTTCCCAGATTGCCTTCCCTCCAAGTTCACGGTCAACCCTTCGCACCTCTTCTAGCCTCAGACTCAAAATGGCTCCTTCCTTTATTCTCCTGGTGCTGTCTGGGCTTCTGGTTAGAGCACACACTACAACCTGCCTTGCATTAAAAGCTACTCATGTGTGCTTTGTCTCCCCACTCTCCTGGAAGCCTCTGAGAACAGAGGTTTTGATTTACCATTTCTGTTCATTCAGTCTAGCAATGCTCCGTAATAATAAATACCTCCAATTATAAAATGCTGATTGCGTGCCACTCTGATGTCTTACAGACTTTGTTCCTAGCATTATAATCCGCTACACAGTGGTAGTTATTACCTGCATTTTAAAGAAAGGGGAATTATCGTCTGGTAGAAATGAGATAAAAACAGCCTTCTCAGTTCCATAGTCGCCATTCTTGGTATTCTGTCACATTCTAGGAATATCTAGTCTCGTAAATGAATTGGATTCATGCCTCAGCCTGGACAAGAGCTACTGGTAGCCTTAAATTCTACCCACTGGCCATTTCTGACTTCTGCTTCTCCACCCTGTTTACCTCTTGGATAGACAGCAGTACTCAAGTCTGGCCCCACAGCCTGTCGCACTTGCCTTGCACGTTACGTAAGCACAGGAGAAGTTTGATCTTACTGTGTGGGGGAACAGTGAGTGGTACCCAAGGCCAGAGTAGCTCTCCTGAGCCCAGGGAGTTTCAGTGACAAAACAAACAAACAAACAAAAACAGTCTTTAAGCCATCAATGACGGCCAGCAGTACATACAAGTGTGTGTGTGTG